TTCTTCTTAGATAAAAAAGTAGATAAAATAGATAAATTAGACTTCATCAAAATCAAAAGGTTTTGTGTTTTAAAGGATACCATCAAACAACGTGCAGACTGGGGAAAGTATTTGTAAATTACATCTGATAAGAGAGTTAAATCCAGAATCAAGAGGTCTTACAAGTGAGTAATAAAAAAGAAAATAACCCAATTAAAAAATGAGCAAAGGGGGGCTGGCCTAGTGGTGTAGTCATTAATTTCACGTGCTCCGCTTTGGTGGCCTGGGGTCACAGGTTTGAATCCCGGGCGCGGACCTATGCACCGCTCATCAAGCCATGCTGTGGGAGCATCCTACATCAGCGAAAAGAGGAAGACTGGCAACAGACATTAGCTCAGGGCCAATCTTCCTCAAAAAAAAAAAAAATGAGCAAAGGATCTTAATAGGCATTTCTCCAAAGAAGATATACAAATGGCCAATAAGCACATGAGAATACATAAACATCATTAGCCACCAGGGAAATGCAAATCAAAACCACAATGAGATACCGTTTTATACCCAGTAGATGGCTAGAATCAAAAAGCCAGATGATAGCAAGTGTTAACGAAGATGAGGAGAGATTGGATTTCTCGTACGCTGCTGGTGGGAATGTGCAGCCACTTTGGAAAACTGTCTGCAGTTCCTCAAAAAGTTAAAAACAAGTTACCATATGACCCTGCAGTTCTACACCTATGCATATAACTAAGAGAAAAGAAAACAAGTCTACACAAAAACTCATAACATGAATGTTTGTAGCAACATTATTCATAAAAGGCAAGAAGTGGAAATAACCCAAATGTCCATGAATGTATAAAATGTGGTATAGCCATACAATAGAATATTATTCAGTCATAAAAAGGAATGAAGTACTGATACGTGCTACCACATATATGAACCTTGAAAATATTATGCTAAAGAACCCATCCACAGAAGACCATATATTGTATGATTCCATTTATATGAAATATCCAGAATGGGCCAATCTATAGAGGCAGAAAGCAAATTAGTGATTGTCTGGGGCTGAGAGGCTAGAGGGTAATATGGAGTAACTGCTAATGAGTACAGGGTATCTTTTTGGGGTAACAAAAATGTTCTAAAATTGATCATGGTGATGGTTGTACAACCCTGTGAATGTACGAAAAACAACTGAATTGTACACTTTAAATGAGTGAATTGTATGGTATGTCAATTATATTTTAATAAATCTGTTATATAAAATATCTATGTAAAAATTTTAAAAAGAAAATAAATTAAACACCCAAATAAAATAGCTAGAAAAGGGACAAAGGAAACCAAAAGAATACAAAAGTAAAGAACTAAAGATAAAAACAGACATCAGTGAGATAGAAAAGAAACAAAAGCAATAAAATTAATAAATGAATCATAAAGTTGGTTCTTTGGGAAATAAAATAGACAAACCTAATTTTACTAACTGGGATAAAGCACTAAAAAGACAAAATAAGAAATGACAAGGGGCAATAATCATCCAGAATATTAAAAGTCATGAGACTATTTTGAAATAGCTATGAAAATAAAATACAAAACCTAGATAAAATGGATACTTTTCAGGGAAAATTTATTTAAACAAAATTGATGCCAGTAGAGACAGAAAGCTTAAACAGACCAATTTCCACAGAAGAAATAGAAAGGGACAACCTGACCCTGGGTGCTTCCAGAGCTGATGCAATGAACAGTCTATGGCACCAGCTATGGAGTATTCATGCCCAAAGAATAAACTGGAATCTAATCAAGTTTCTAAATTTACTGCCAGTTTATAGGAAGTATGAGGAAGAGAAACATTAAAGGATATTCTGGGATGCCATCAACCGAATCCAGAAAGTCTACAGAACAATTGACCTGGTTTGTTCTAAAGAAGAAAGACGGTGCTGTTATAGATTACTAGAGACTGAAACCAACGGGAGGAAGACATATGAGATAATTGGGGAAATTTGAAAACAGACCAGCTATTAGATGATATTGAGGAATCAGTTAATTTTGTTAGGTATTGATAATGGTATTGTGGCTCTCAGGACTAAAAAGTCCTATCTGTAAAGATATATGATAAAATACCTGTTGGTGAAATTACAAAGTATTTAAAATATTTTAGCAAAACAACAAACCCCAACTTCGTGTGGGGGGAAATGAAACAAAGTTGGCATGATGTTGATGACTGCTGAAGCTGCTCTGTCAGATGTCGACGTGCATTTGTGCCCCTGGTTCATCTCTTCCAGCTTCCTCAAGAATGCTGTTCCTTTCATTGTACCTTCTCTGTGCCTCCTCACCCGTTTGTCCCCTTCCCGCTGAGCCTTCCCTTCCGCACGCACACACAGGCTCCATCATATCTGACCTAAAACACCGTGCTTCTCCAAGTCCTTCTACAACGAAGCTCAGAGCAGGGGCTGTCCCTCCCTGTCTCCCCCTCTCTCCTATGCTCACCCCCACAGGGCTGTGCCCTGTCACAGCACCGACCCTTTTCCTGACTGTGTCAGCATCCTTCTCCATGTGGCCGGATCCAATGGCCACTTCTCTGTATCCAGCCACTCCACAGCAAGCTGCCCAGCCTCCCACAGCCTCCTTCTTAAAACACTTGGGTCTCGCGGTTTCAAACACACCACCATCTCTCCATCCTGACCTCAGTCAGGCCCCTGGCATTTTATATTTTAATGACTCCTACCTGTATATTTTCAGTCCTGACCTGAGTTCTAGATCTGTATTCAATCAACAGCCTATCAACCCTCCCGCTGGAGATAAGACAGGCATCCCAAATGTAACGTGGCTACCGCAGAGCTCCTGATCCGTCCCCCTGCCCCCGCTCACACCTCCTCCATCTCAACAGTACCACGTCCGCCCGCTGTGTCAGCCAAAACCCTGAAGTCGTTCTGGTGGTGGAAACCTGAGATTCTGCATCGCCCTTCCAGTTAATTTATTAGGGCCACTTCTTCTTATAAAACAGCATTTCGTTAAGTGAGAAGAAATCCTTTTGCCGTTGTTAATTTCCTCAGCAGATTAAGCCGGCACAGCACTGGCCACTTGCTCTTCCTGGGACCCTCTGCCCTGATCTAAGAATCTGGCTCCCTCTCATGTGCAAGGTGCAACCTTAAAGGCCCCTCCACAGATGGGAATTTCTTCACCACCCGACCTAACTTGCTACCACGTTACCCTGTTCTATCTTCGTAGGGTTTTGCACATTCCAAGCTTCTTGTTCATGTCTTTCTAGAACCAAAGCTGCATGAGGGCAGGCCTTTGTTCTGTTCACTGCTGGATCTGCAGCAGAGGTGCTCAAAGGTTTCAGAAAAAGAACTTTGCACAAGAACTGTCTTAGTCTGCTCAGGCTGCTATAACAAAATACCACAGACTGGGTGCTTAAATAACAGACATTTATTTCTCACAGTTCTGGAGGCTGGGAAGTCCAGGATGAAGGTGCGGGCAGATTCGGTGTCTGGTGAGGAGCCTCTTCCTGGCGTGTTGACAGCCGCCTTCTCCCTGTGTCCTCACATGGCCCTTCTTGGGTGCATGAGCTTCCTTCCTCTTCTAAATAAGGGCACTAATCCCATGAGGGCCCCACCCTCATGACCTCATCTAACCCTAATCACGTCCCAAAGGCCCCACCTCCAAACACCATCATATTAGGGGTCAGGGCTTCAACACAGGAATTTTGGGGGGACACAAACATCCAGCCCATACAAGAACTCGCCTCTTCCTGTGCCTGTTCCTAAAACGAGGCAACTGGCAGACCTCTGATGTCCCTCCTGCTGATGTTCTGATGCTCTGTCCCCACGGAGGGGCGTCTGTCTGGTAAGAGTTTGCACAGACCAAACTCTTGCCCTGTGCAGGGTGATGGGGTTAAAATGGAGACACAAACCCTGAGAGGTGTGGTGTCTGACACTTATCTGTCTAGCACTGGGTAAGACTGGGATCAGAGAACACGAAATGGGAGTAGTATTTTTCTTATACAATTCTCTTTGTCAACACTTAACCTATGCATATCATTATCCCCCTTCTCTCTGTGATACAGAAGCTATGGACTAAAGTCACACTTTAGTGGGGAGGACCAGTATTCCACACAGAATGGATTCCTGTCACTGGATAGCAGCCCTTTGTAATACCTGAGGTCCTGCTTACCTGCTCAGGAGGTAGAGGTGGGGCAGCTCATCTTGAGAAGGAAGTAGGAGGGACACTGCCTCGGGTGGGCCAGGCTCTGACTGCAGGTCATGGGAGGTGAGGAACGGACTCTGGTTGGGGCTTGGGTGGCCAGGACATTTTCAGAGAGGAGGGACTCCCGCTGGGATTGGTACTATCCATGTTAAGGACGCCTGGTGAGGGCCAGGGCAGGGAGGAGACAGGGCAGGCTGGGACAGGGGAGTGAGGAGGGCAGGGCTGGATGGAGAGAGGCTTGGATACCAAGAATCGCTGAGAAAGACTTTTTGAGGCCACTTATGCCAATGGTTCTCAAATTATGCCTCCAAGAACACTGGGGTTTTGAGTGTTTGGATTATAAGAAAAAAAAAATCCAGCCTTATCTCCAAAGTAAAAGAAATACACTAATTTCATGAGTATTCTTTGCTTTTCAAATTTTCTTATTTGGTGACTGCCTGTTCTTGTTTCTCTCCACTAGAATCTAGGTCAAGGATAGAAGCTGATTCAGCACAAAGTTAGATGAATTGTCTTACATTTAATCAATCAACATTACAAAGTGTTCACACTATATACAACTTCATAACATCCAGGTGTGTGGGCACCTGTAAAAGGGAGGACCTCCAACCTCTGTCCTTCTACAGGTGGGCAACCTGAGGGCCCGTCTCCAGTGCTCGCTTGCCTGGCCTCCTGCTATGTGCCAGGCTCTGGACCTTTGACCAGCAGGCTCTGTGTCCTGAGCAAAGACCTGGGCTCCTCGCAGGCCTTCCCGTGAACTGCACCTGAACCTGCTGGGCAGGTGGGGCTGTGTGCAGGCATGTGCCACAGGAGATAGCTGGTCCAGGGGCTCAGAGGCCTGGCCCAGGCCCAGGCGAGTAGGCCCTATTCCCTTGCAGCCAGAGGTACACAGAGCTGAGGGACAGGAAGAAAAGCAGCCCCGGGTGAGCAGCACAAGACACTAGTTGCTGTGAGGGACAGAATAGAGAGAGGCCAAGAACTGTCAGGCAACTGAGAAAACCCGAGGCTCAGGTATAGCCGGGGCACCTGGAGGAAGCTATACCGAGCAAGGTCCTCTCCAGTGCCAGTCTGCCAGGGGACACCAGGGTGGGGGGGTGCAGGCAGGTCCAGCAGGCCCTCGGTGGGGCTCATCCTCTGCCCGTCCATTCCCTCCCGGACCCGGGTGTGGCAGAGCAGAACACAGGGCTGGTAAAACAGGTGAACACAAGCTCGAACATCCCCACTGCAGGCCAGCAGGATGGGGCCTCAGGGAGACAGGAACTGTGGGACCTGGGGCAGGAGGACAAGAGAAGACAAGAGTCAGGGCAAAGGGAAGGACCCGGCAGAGGCGAGGGGCGGGAGCAGAGCTGCCGGGTGGTCAATGCTGGCCCCGGAGCTGAGAAGGGCAGACTGTGAACAGAGTGAGCAGCTTGGTGCCACTAGACCTGGATTTGAAACCTGGCTCTGTGACCTGGGCAAGTCATTGTCCTTCCTCAAAACTCATTTCTGTAACCTATAAAATCAAGCACTACCTAGCTCAGCTGATGTGACGATCAAGCGACACGCCGTAACCTGTGAAGCGCTGTGCTGATGTGTGCCTCTGTTGTTAAGGGGGCTGCCTAAAAAGGATTGGCTCCTAAGGTGGTAGAGGAGGGAGCCTGGGTCCCCAGCCCTCGGGACCCAGGGCAGCACAGTCGGGGCGGGGTCAGCACTGCCTGCAGGGAGAAAGGGTGTGCCTTCTTTGTGACCTGGCCACGCTGGACTAAAAGGTATTGGGCCCCACGGTGCTCACCACATCACTCATTATCCGGGTCTGGCAGCTGTTCAAGGAGCATATCCTCTATGCCACTCAACTGCGAGAGAGAAGGAAATTAGAGACCAGAGCCCTGGGAATTCTTCCCTTCCTGGCTCCCAGGCCTTCCACAAGCTTGGAGCAGAAGGTGGCAACCTGCATGGGGGGATTCCAGGGGCCCTCGGGAGACTTTCCCTCCTCCCACCAGCCTTCACCCTGAGTGCCCACCAGAGAGGCCTTCATGTGGTGGACGGGGCTTCTGGTAGAGACCCCAGAGAGTGACCTGGTCATTCAGTTCTAATGTCTCTCTAATCCGGTCCTCTCAAAATCTGCAGCTGTCAATTCCCTCCAGTTGTTTTTAGCTTTTGGTGCAGAGACAGAGGGAAGAGATATACTGCCGAGGCCAGGCATGGTGGGGGTGGGGAGCAGGGCCACCCACGATGACCCGACGGGTCCCTGGGAGAAGCACAGGCTTGCCTCGATGTGGTACACTATGCGCCAGAAGCTGGAGTCTGAGCCGCGGTATTTTCTTCCGGGGTAGAGCTGCCACATCAGAGGCAGCAGGTACGGGCCGAGCTGGCTGGGGCGCACCGGCTCCCCCAGGGGGATATCTTCCTGACGCATGAGTACTTGCAGGCTGCTGTCCATCTGAAGGGAAGAGAAGAGCAGGGCACACCATCAGGGCACACTCCGAGCTCCTCCAGGCACAAATAACCAGAGTCCTTCTGCCACCCGCCCGGCCCGGCTGGCATCTGAGATGCCGGTGATCACAGTTCCCACGGCTCCATCCCTTAAGCCATGCAGGCTCTTCTCCGAGACGCTGGCTGGGTCAGGACGACCAGCACTCACACATGTCCAGATACCCAGACAGGGCCACCAAAGGCCCACTTCTCCCTGACAAACTTCTAGTTGCTAGGATACGCCATGGGGCTCTGAGCTTCCTCACCCATGCGGTCTCCTTAGCTATTTCAGCTGATGGATTTTCTCTGATTTTTCTTTATTTTGTCATATATCCCAAGATATCCCAGACCCCAGAATCAGGTGAGACCACTCTTTGCCATCTCCACCACTGCTCCTCTGCTATCATCTCTCGCCTGGACTATCGCCATAACTTCCTAACTTGCTGCCTTCTTCGTCTTGGGCCCCACAATCAAGTCTCTGCACAGCAGCCAGGGTGTGCATCCAAAAATCACGTCACTGCCCCGCTCGACACCCTCCGACGCCTTCCCATCGCAGGCAGAATGAACTGGAATCTTTACCACAGCCCACAGTCCCACGTAGCTGGGCCCCTGCCTCCTTCATCTCCTGTCATCCTGTCCTTCACCCCCAACCCCGTCGCAGCCACACAGGCCCCCTCGCTATTTCTGGGACGTGCCACACCCCCAGTAAGCTCTGGCACCTGTGTCCTCTGCCTGGAACATTCTCCCCTAGATCTACACAGGGCTCACATCCTTCTTTTAGGCAGGTCTCTGCTCAACTGTATGTCTAGAAAGACAAATTTCAGCAAAATCCAACTCTAAGATATAAATGAGAGGCATGCCTAAAATAGAGGTTCAGAAAGGTTTCAAATAAAATCATGGGCAAAATATGACAGGCAAATGCGAATTAAGCTCCCAGGGGTCCTGCCTGAAGCCCCCACACCACTCGTGATCACCTCTCATCCCACTTTCCTTCTCCTACACAACTAACCACTGGCCTCGAATGTCAGCTTGACAAGTAGAGGGGTTTTATCACAGTCACTGCAAACCCCCACAGCCTAGACTCGTGCTTGGCATATAAACTAGGCATTCCTGTTTGTTCAATGACTATTTTTCCAAAGTGGAAATAGTTATTTCAAATTTTCTATGAAATAAATTAGAACTCACTATTATAAAATAATTCTGATCATCCTGCAAAGTATAAGTGTGGAAGTCATCATTCTTGCTCTATATCCTTTAACCATTTTTAGTTTGCTTATTCATCTTTTTCTTGTTGATTTAAGTAAATCTTTGTTGTTGTTAGTGCCCTCGAGTCAATTCTGACTCCTAGCCACCCTCTGTACAGCAGAGCGGAACCCTGCCCAGTCTTTTTGCACCATCCTCTCACCTTCCGGTGCTGTATCAGACAATGCTCCACTGCTATTCACAGGGTTTTCATGGCCAATTTTTCAGAAGTGGGTGGCCAGGTCCTTCTTCCTCGTCTGTCTAGTCTGGAAACTCCACTGAAACCTGTCCACCATGGGGGACCCTGCTGGTATTTGAAATCCCAGTGGCACAGCTTCCAGCATCACACCAACACACAGCCACCACAGTATGACAACTGACAGATGGATAGTGTGGTTCCCTGACCGGGAAACGAACCCCAGCAGAGGTGGTGAGAACTACGAATTTTAGCCACTAGACCACGAGGGCTGGCTAAGTAAATCTTTACATATTAAGAATACTAGTCTTTGCAGTTACAGGAGGCAAATGGGTTTGCTAATGGGTTATGTTTTGTGCAGAATTTATAATGATTATGTGAAAAACTCTGTGGTTTCAGTGTCATGTTGAAGAAGATACCCCTCAACCAGAGATTAAAAAAAGATAGTCACTTAAATTTTCTTCAAATACTTGACTTAAAAAAAGCAAATATTTAACTTGATTTTTAAAAGTATATATATGTATACATAAAAAATTTAAATTTCAATAAAGATGCAAATTTAGATGGTGGTTAAGAACCTGGAACCCCAAGCCCATTACCTACTAGCAGTTCTACTTTGGACAATATTACATTTTTATGCCTCAAGTTTCCTCATCTGTAAAATGGGGACACAGGCACTACTCAATAACTTTTTGCTGTTTGCTAATATATCACATAAATGTTCTAATATTATGTATTTAAATTTTGCTTTTATGCTTTCTTCCATTTATATATGGAAAGAGTTTCAACATTTTTCACCTAAGTTTCTTGGAGGAAATCTACGCTCTGGTGGAAAGTACTTGTAAGAGAGTTATATTTCTTTAAAAAAGTTAACTAAAGCTCCATCTTAAGGCATCACACATAAGACAAAGTCAACATTTATTCAATGCTGGCTTTTATCCTACTGTATTGTTTGTGAAGTTTGTTTTTTCCAAAGCATAGAGGATATATGAAATAACCCAAACTCTAGGGCAGTGGTCCCCAAAATTGGTGATCATAATCTGTCTGAGGGTCCTTTTACAACACAGATTTCTGAGGCTTACCTAAGGAGATTCTGATAATCAGCCACGTGTATGAATCTTTAGAGAGATGTTATTCCCATTTTATGGCTTAGGACCCTGAAACCCAGAAAAGTCCTATTTTACTCAAGATCATGTTCACACACTCCAGAGGCAATGGGTCCCCATCCTTTGGCCAACATGCCTTTGTGTTTTTCCCCACCCTCCTTCCCAGCGACCTGGAGAACTCCTACTCATCCTTCACAGCCCACCTCAAAGTGGTTTCATCTGTGAGCCCCCTGGCCGCCCTGGGCGGATCAGGCCTTCTGAGCCTTCCCGCCACCGCCCTCACCCTGCCGCCTCTGAGGGGCCCCTGGAGGGCCTCGCGCGGCCTGGGACGTCTCTGGCTCCCCAGGCCGGGCCAGGGATGGTGACGCCCATGCTGCCCCGCCCGGCCTGGCCCCAAAGCGGCCATACCTCGATGGTTATGGGCAGCCAAGTGCGCTGGTTCTCGTCCACATACACGGCCCTTTCCCAGATCCACAAGCGGTCCGGGTGAAAGGCAGTGTGCGCCCTGAAGAACGGGAGCTCGCCCATGGCGCCTCGGGCGGTCCAGGCCGCAAGACCCGCAGCCTCTCCAGGCCTCTCGCTGGTGTGTGGGACGCAAGGCCTGGACGCTTTATAGCGGGATCGCGTGCGGGCGCCCCCAATCGGTGGGGCGGGAGGCGGGCGGGGCGCG